GAAGCTTATTTTTAACAATGTCCCTGATCATTGCAGTCTGAAATTAACAGTTTAACCAGGTTGAGCAACAATATATATTTTGAATCTGTTGTTTTGGACCCCACTGACTTGCATCGTATGGACCAAACAGTTATTAAATTCTTCAAAATATCTTCTTTTGTGTTTCACAGAAGAAAAAAAGTCTGGTTTGGAACAACAAGAGGGTGAATAAACGATGGTGTAATTTCCATTTTTGGGTGAACTACGTTTTTAGTGTTGTTGTTATTATTATTATTATTTTTAAATAAAAATAGGAATGTTTGTGTCAATTAATTGACAAATATAAAACTAAATAGAAATATAAAAAACTAATAAAAATTACAAAAGCTAAAATAAAACGTACTAAAACTAATAAAACATAAAACTTCCCTAAACTTAAACTAAAATTAATTGAAAACCAAAGAATATAAACATAAATGCTAATTGAAAATATTAATAAATACTATAAAATACATACTACTAAAATAACACTAATCTCTTTAAGACAGCAACAATAATGTGGCCTGATTCATTCTAATGGTCAGAGGGAGGTAGAAAAATAGTCATAAAAAACTAAATTAGGACTCTTTTTGGCACCAAAAAAACTTTACTAACATTATGAGTGGACCTTGCGGTAAAAATAAGTAATGAAAAATGTATGATATGGCCCCTTTAAAACCTAACTGTGTTAAAGTTTTCATGAGATTAAAGGGTTAGTTCACCCAAAAATGAAAATTATCCCATAAATTACTCACCCTCAAGTCATCCTAGGTGTATATGACTTTCTTCTTTCAGACGAATCCAGTCGGAGTTATATTAAAAATTGTCTTTGATCTTTCAAACTGTTTCATGCCACTCAGCGGGTGTTGCATGCATCAGTCCAAAAGCAGTTAAATAAAATGCGCCCATCCATAAAAAAAAAGTGTCTCACACGGCTCCGGGGGGTGAACAAAGGCCTTCTGTAGCGAATCGATGCATTTTTGTAAGAAAAATATCCATATTCAAAACGTAATAATCACTTTAATATAGCTTGCGCTCACTGTTGTACACCGGAAGCAGTTATGGGATAATTTTCATTTTTGGGTGAACTAACCCTTTAATGTGGAAATGCATTGCTGCAGTAGCATTGGAGATAACTGTGCGGTTTAGAGTATGTAGATGCTTCAAAGGCACCTTTAATGTTCTGATCAAGGCATATTGTTCATATTCTCAACAGTTGCTGTGTGTGTTTCCAGGAACAGAGTCTTCTGGATCACAAACCACAATTTGCTACAGGGATGATGACAGCAACAGGATGTGTAGCCAGCATGTCTGTGTATCTTTGTGTGCTTGAGTATAAACACAGTGTGGGTAGGTCATATGATAGACCACATAGCACTTTGAGGTTTGTGTCCATGTTGTTAATGAAAGTGAAGAGTGAATGTTAGAAGGAATGTTAACACGTTAAAGGTTCAGTGACATTTAATGCCTCAGATGCTATAGTTTGTTTACACCAAGAGAAGTAAATCGGGCAGATTTTTATACTGATACAAATTCAGTTTGTTTGCATTGGAAATGGTTGGTTTAGAAGATCTAATTTATGTATGTTCATGGCCTTGCTTTCAAATATTCTCAATAAATGTTTAAGCATGAAATATTACAGTATGAAAAATGTCTTTGAGCCAGACAGCACAAATCTAAATTCAAATCAGATTCTATCCCAAACTGGTATTCAAGAGCTTTTGTTTTGATGATCCATGTCACACTCTGAATCAGATAAAGTCGAGACATAAGGATCAAAAGAAACAGGAGCAATTAAAAGAGAATCTTTATTAAAAAAAAAATAGTCCTGCATTGACAGTTCTCTGACCACAATAGCTGGTTGAGAGGAAGAGAAACGGAAAACACGTTAAAGATTTTGTCAGCATCCATTACAGAAGAGTGAGCAGTCGGAGGATATAGTAGCTTTATCCACAGTGAATGAATTTGGATCTCTTTCTTTTCCAGAGAGCTCACCACAGTTACTGGGCTTTTAGCAAACACCCAGCTGCCAAAGGAAATTACAGATAAATCTGTCTGTAAATATGCCAAACATATTTACAGACAGAGTTCATGAAAAGCATGAAAAAGCAAAACACCATTTGCACTTAAACATTTTAAACACTTTGCCATGCTGGGAATCATTAATGTTCATATACTACTCTTCTCCTATTTTCCTGCTCAGTTCTTATGCCCTCTATATGCTTTACTTGTTGTTCTTTCATATGGTCTGTGTACTGCATGTTTTTTCTTCAAAAAATTAACAATGAAAAACAAATGGATTCTAGAGCTATAATTTAACACTTGCTTAGTGACTGTTTCATGTTATTTTCCCTCTTATGTTACAATAACATGTAAATGGAAAGAAAAAATGTGTTCAACAACATCACATGGCTGTGGACTTTAGTGTCTGACCACTGCAGAATGCCCAGGTTTTATGGTCCATGGCTAAGCTCTGTTGGAAATCTCCCGTCAAGGGAGAGCTGAGCTCTCTAAAAGTGCCCACTGAACCAAGTTGATCTCCTCTCTGCCTTAGTCCAGAGAACCTCTGTGACCAGAACCACACTGTTGAATGTTTGCTCTTTAGAGTATGTGTCTTTGAGGGTCAGAAATTAACTAGGGCACAGATCAAAAATGCCCCAAATATTTAAAATGTGATTTTTTAAAATAAAATTCATTTTTTTTAATAATTCATAATATTTCTAAGCCAGATCTGTAAAATGATTTCCAGCAGAGCATTTATTATGTTATGGGATTTTGTGAATTATTTATAATTATCTCTGTATGTGACGTTGATCTGAATGAATGGGTAACAGCCAGAAATGGTTCTTTCTCATTTATTTCAATTGACTTATTTTAAATATCTGACATAATAAATTGTCTACACAGTTGTGTTTGTGGTTAGGGAAAAAAAACTCAGAGTTAAAAAAAAAAATGCCAGTAAAAATCAATGCCAGGGGAAAATATTAACTATTAATTAAATGTTTTGTTAAACATGTTACAAATCTCCATATTGGAACAAGGGCCTTCATTTTATGAGGTAATTCCAAATGCAATTACCTCATACACTATTGGCCATCAGACTCTTTTCTGGCCAGCTGTTTTGGACATGTAATGGACTATTAGTCGTAAAAGGATCTGCAGTTCAAACAGTTCACGTTTTGGGCGGGGATTAAGGGAAACTTTTAAAGAGAACCATCCAAAACACTTCGGCGAATCCTGATTGGGCAAGCGACCTGTCACTCGAAAATCAGGGGCGTGGTTTGGGAGCGATCGCTCACAATGTAATAGAGTTTTAGCGCAGTCTTGCTTTTTCATAGGCGTGTGTCAACTGTGTGTGCCAAGGGGTGCTCCGCTCTTACCAATGCGATTAATGAACACAACGAACCAATTGAGGGAACACTAAACAAACACCCTGTTTTTCCGTTTCGTCTGTTTTCATACGGACGAGCTGCGCGTCTGCAAGGAATCAAGCCTAGCACAAAGGAGAACTAAAAAAGGAAGCAAAGGTAAATGAGCTGGTTTTCTCCTTCGTAAGAAGTTTTTTCGTCGTGTCTGTTTATATGATTTGAACTCTGGCCGTGACAGTCCGCCAAGTTTGGATACGATGGAAACACTGCGATTTGTCGTACAGTTTGTGGGAAAACAAACAGGTATCGTTTCAGGTCGGTAAATATTGCAGTCAGTGGCGACGTGAAGGCAGCAGACCATGCGGTTCTAATCTGATTTACTCCTCAGATTCTTAGTTTTGCACGTTTTAGGTGCTGTTCAAACATGCATAGCATTAGTCTTCAATGCAGATTGTCCACCTACAGTATTTCTAATGCCGTGACACTGTTGTTGACAGTGCAGAACACACGTTGGTCATGTTGATGAGAAACACATGATGACATGTGAAGTATATCCGTTTTCTAGTTTAACCTGTACTGGTTAGACTAGTGTTTGCACGTGAAACGCATATCGTGTGTCTGGGTTACAAGCTCTGCACGAAAGCGTTCAGTTGTTTAGAAAACAAGCGCAGCACTGGCCAGCTGGACAGTAGAATATCAAGAGGAAGCCGTAGCTATATCCTGGTCCAAAAAGATGGGCATGCTGGTTTTGGACTGCTGATCGGTGGTGTTGGAGGAGTTTGGCCTTGGGCACAGAGCTGAGAGTGCACTATTCATTCAGCGTGTTGCGCACCTTTACCAGCTGTGTGGTGGCGAATTAATTACGCTTACGAATATTGGTGATAGTGCAGAAATTGAATTATAAAAATTATTGTTTCCACCGAACAATTTTAATAAAACCAAATATGGGATATTCAAGCATATTTATCTCGATTTTTCGATTTTCCATTAAACCGAAACATCACAGTTTATTATTGTTATTGTAGCGATATCAAGATTTCATTAGTCGTAAGCATTATTTAAATATTCTCGATGTTACAGCAAACCTTTGCTATTCAGCATACTCCTAACCATTATACTAATTAAACTAATTTAACTTGCTTGGCATGTAAACATTGCTTCGGTAAGGAAGTAAACGGTAATAAAATGAAGAGAACACAGAAACGCATTAGAAACAGAGTGCTTGACATTTTCCAGTATCTAACTCTAGAGGGCTTATTAAAGCTAAAGCCTTACAGTTATCCAGATGAGAGCATTGAGGGAGTGATTTTATTTTTTTCCTGCCAATATTGTTTGATTATTATTAATGACATAATGGATTGCGGGAGGTTAAGCTGCGTTTACGCATCTGTTTTGACATATCAGATTTTTTTTTCGTCCTGTCTGTGTACATTCACTTAAGACAAAGCTTACTGTGTCTAATATCTTGAGAAGGATATAACTGCAGCCCGGAGATCTCCAAATGGGGGCGGGAACTCCAAAACGGGGTGGGAGCTCCAAAATAGGGCGTGGCTTCCTCCCATTGACAGACAGGCATATGAAACGCATGCGCAATTTTTCCCCCCAATCCACTTCAGTGCAAACTCCGCCCCACAGCTGATTCTAAAGATTTTATTGGTTGTGTCAATTAAAGTGTTGATTTCCTACATTATGCTACAAAAAATGCTAACCCCTAAACCTACCCCACACCTGACCCTAACCTTAACCAGTGAAACTGACTGCACGGCGGGATTGGTGCTGAATAGCGTGGTAAAGAAAGTTGCAGTTCAGGAGATAAACAGTTAATAAGATTATGCAATATGAGATCATTCCGTAACTCCCCAACCGGACCTTACCGGACAATGGCACCTTTTTAGTTACACCCAGCGTCACTACCCCCTCCTACCCTGCGAATGTCGTGCCCGGGGATGCCCCCGTTGCTTGGAACAAAGCGATAGAGTAAAATCTTTCCCCTGCGCTGATGGCTCGTGGGTGATTCCCGTTTATATCATTAAGCAGAGGTTCAAACTCCAGTCCGAACACCACTGGCCACAAGCTTTGGGCTCTGCTCTCACGGAGAATATTTACTTATATAGCATATTTTATTTTAGATGAACTAGAAACAATGTTACATTTATAAAGTTTTATTTTGAAATGTAAGTCAATAACAATTGGCTGGAGCCAGAGCCAATGGTGAAAGCCTTTGCGAGAGGAGACCCCGCCCCATTTTGGAGGTTCTGCCCACTTTTGGAGTTCACGCCCCATTTTGGAGATCTCTAGTCTGCAGTTATACCTACTTGAATATCTTGGCAAGACCTGCATTTTAACGGAAAAGTGCATTTGACCGCGCAGTCGAGTACGCGAGCAAGCTCTCTTCAGAGGTCATGCGCACAAATACGCATGAGCATTTCAAAAGCAGCATTTTCTGTGATCCTTTTGACATTGTTAATAGGCTAGTTATGGTTTTTTGACCAAGCAGCAATTACCACTGGAAGTGATTTTCAGAGTTATCTTCATCTATTATGAGGGTTTATTGTTTTGTATCTATATAAAATGAACAATATGTCATCCAGTTATGTCCGTTAAGTGGGCCAATCAATAGAAATAAATTCTCATTCTGAACAATTATGGCTGTCACCTATCAAATACAAAAGCATCTGTAATATCTGTACATATCATAACACATATGCTTTACTAGAGTACATTGCTGGTCCCTTTGTTATAGATCAGCCATTTCCCCCCGCCACATTTTGATTATCTGGGGCATTTTTGTCACTTTCAATAATGTTTTTGCTCCAGGTGCTGGTTACTGTTTGACCCTGCTTTAGATTTCAGTTAAAACGCGTTTGTCCTTGGTAAAAATTCAACCGTAAACAAGACTAAGAGTAGCTTGGAGGGTTCATTACTCCAGGTGCAGGAGGTATATTTCTGGCATCTACCCCGAGGTTGTCTTGAATGATCTAAAGTGTTAATGAATAATGAATAGCTCTCTGAGCTATCATTAGACATTTTCCTGTGGTTTTTCTTTCTTTTTTAAAAACGTTTGATAACTGTTGTTTAATAAGTAGGTTTGGTCCATAATTGCAATATAAGTGCACTTAAATATTCAACCAGTAATTCTGAAGTGACCCAAGTAGAATTTTAATGGGTTCCAGTATTATGAATACAGTCAGAGAGTGTGTTGTTTTCCACTTAAATAGCTTGTCTCTCTGCCTTACTTTGCTGGTTTTAAGACTATTAGATATTAAGTATTACAATTACCCTTGAATATTCTGTGCTGACTTTTGTATCGTTTGAGGTCAACGCTCACTTGTTCTGTGGAAAATGTGTCCATGTTCTTCTTCCTTGTATTTAAAGGCATAGTTCCCCCAAAAATGAAAATTATGTCATCATTTACTCATTTCATTCCAAGCCTGTAAGATATTTTTCTTCTGTTGAATGCACAAGAATGTCAGGGTACAAACAGCATTGATTGCCTTTCATTGTATGGGCAAAAAATTGAGACTTTTTTTTTTTTTTTTA